ATTATGGAACCACTGAACCTTGTAGACTCTGGGGTTCGCCTGAATGCCACACTCGAAGTACACATCGTCACCTTCCTTGATATCGTCCATGTCAAGGTTCTGCCCCGCTGCCAAGGAGAGGCGGGGGGTATCTGGTGGGAGGGGGGGGGGAGAAGAATATCCTATGGTTTCATTCTGTTTTTTTTTTTTTTTTTTTTTTTGGGGGGGGGGGGGTTCTTTTTGTGTGTGTGATCATGGGATTAGCATTGCTTAGTGAAAATGTAGTTTGTAAGTTTGTTCCTATGTGTGTATATATATGTATAATCATATCTGTCAAATCTGTATTTATATTATTGTACAAACACAGATTTTTCTTAATGGTATACCTACAAAAACATATTTCAGAAAAAAAAATATATCTAGAAATATCTAAAGATATACCCATATGACAATCTATTTCAAAAGGTATATCCACTTGAAAATCTATTTCTGAAGGTCTACTTATTCACTTAACAAAGACAGAACCACAAGAGACACAAATTAATAAATCAGTCACACACACACTCTCTCTCTGTCTCTCTATCTCCTCCAACCCCCCCTCTCTCCCAGCCCCCCCTCCTTCTCTCTCTCTTGCCCACCCCCTCTCTCTCTCTCTTTCTCTCTCACCCCCCCTTTTCTCTCTCTCAGCCCCCCGCCTTTCTCTCTCTCTCCCTCTCCTCCAACCCCCCCCCCCTTTCTCTCTTCCTCTCTCCCAGCCCCCCCCCCCCTTTCTATCTCTCCCCTCTCTCTCTCTCTCTCTCAGCCCCCGCCTTTCTCTCTCTCTCTCTCTCTCCTCCTCCAACCCCCCCTTTCTCTCTTCCTCTCTCCCAGCCCCCCCCCCCTTTCTATCTCTCTCTCTCTCTCTCCCCCTTCTATCTCTCTTCCCCCCACCCCCCCCCTCTCTCTCTCTCTCTCTCTCTCTCTCTCTCTCTCTCTCTCTCTCTCTCTCTCTCTCTCTCTCTCTCTCTCTCTCTCTCTCTCTCCCCCCTTTCTATCTCTCTCTTCCCCTCCTCTCCTTCTCTCCCCCCCCTCTCTCTCCCTCTCTCTCAGAACCCCTCGAAGACACTCACAATGCACGTTGAGCTTGGCAGAATCTTCAATAACAGCTGTGGGCACCCTCGGATTCTCGGCGCGGCAGGAGATGTAGACGTCGTTGTCCGCTGGCGACGGGATGAGGTGGAGGGTCGACCGGGTGATGTTCCCTTCTTGAAATACCTGTTGGGGGAGGTTGGGGGGAGGTTAGGGAGGTTGGGGAGAGAGGTGGGGGTGTTGGGGGAGAGATAGGGGGTGTTGGGGAGAGATAGGCGTGTTGGGGAGAGATAGGGGGTGTTGGGGAGAGATAGGGGGTGTTGGGAAGAAATTGGGAGGTTGGGGAGAGGTTAGGGAGGTTGGGGAGAGGTTAGGGAGGTTGGGGAGAGAGGTGGGGTGTTGGGGAGAGATAGGGGGTGTTGGGGGGAGGTTAGGGAGGTTGGGGAGAGATAGGGATGTTGGGGAGAGATAAGGGGTGTTGGGGAGAGAGAGGGGTGTTGGGGAGAGAGGTAGGGGTGTTGGGGAGAGAGATGGGGGTGTTGGGGAGAGAGGTGGGGATGTTGGGGGGAAAGGTGGGAAGGTTGGGGGGAAAGGTGGGGATGTTGGGGAGAGAGGTGGGGAGGTTGGGGAAGAGGTGGAGGTGTTGGGGAGAGAGATGGGGAGGTTGGGGGGAAAGGTGTGGAGGTTGGGGAAGAGGTGGGGGTGTTGGGGAGAGAGATGGGGAGGTTGGGGGAAAGACAGTGAGGTTGGGAGAGATATAGGTGTTGAGAAGAGAGATCAGGAGGTTGGGGAAAGAGATGGGGATGATGGGTAGAGAGATGATGGGGAAGTTGGGGAGAAATGGGGTAGTTTCGGAGAGACGGGTGTTGGGGAGAGATGGAGGCGTTGGGCAGGTTGGGGAGAGAGTTGAGGAGGTTGGAAGGGATGTTATAGTAGTATGGATGGAGTGGCGAAGGGGGGGGGGAGATAGAAAAGGGGGAAGACAGAAGAAGGTGGGAAGAGGAGAGGAAAATAGTTGTGGTGAAGTGAATTAAGGAAATTTAGGTATAAGGGAATAGGAAAAGAGGATAAGAGGAAGGTAGATAAAAGGAGGAAAAGAGATAACAAACATACGCGGAAGTGGGGGGGGGGGGGGGGTGAAGTAGAATGGAAAGGATAAGGGAAGAAAAGAAAAATAGAGATATTTTTACATGTGTTGATGGATGTGCATGACCAAAGTAGTGTCATGCATTTGCCTTTGACTTTTCATAGCCACATTTTTTTAAGGTACATAACTGCGAAAAAAAATAGTGTATTCTTAAGCATATAAAGGTCAGCCTTCCATTTAAGAATTCATTAAGCTTGAGAAAAAAGGTCATATATCACCTTCACCAGAAAGCAACTGAAGAGTCATCGAACTTGCAATCAATACGTTAATATTAATTTCCTTTGACATATTTGATGTTGCAGAAAA